CATCCAGTGTGTATGGGGAGTTCTGTACCACGCGTCTCTTCTCTCAAAAACCGAACATCTCTTAATCCCTTTGTCTCTCTCCTTGCACCTCCTTTTCTTCAGGCATGCTCATCTGCAGCCTCCAGGGAAACTATGAGTGCAGTCACCTCTTCTAAATCCCTTTGTCTTTGAAAACCAGTGATGTATGCAGCTTCCCACCCCCATAGACACGCACATATCTTAAAGCCGTGCCCACAGCCTGTGGATGGACTCTCTGATTGTTTTTTACAGCAGGGCCCTCAATCCGCTGCTGTGGCTTGTTTGCTTTGGGTAAAAGTTGGGACATTTCTTTTAAATTCGTGCCAGCGTCTGCTGTTGTGTTCCTGCATTATCCGGGCCAGAGTGGGCGGTAGGGTAGGCAAAATGTATATATATATATATATATATATATATATATATATATATATACATTAGGGTAGGCAAATGTATATATATATATATACATTTGTACCCCAATGTAAAAAAAAATGTATATATATATTTTTTTACATTTCATTGTGGGGAGGCAGGATCACTGCAGATGGTGAAAGACTGCAGACAGGTATAATCTAGTGGCACAATGACCCACGCAGACACTGGGGGGAGGGGAGGAGACATATTGTCACCAATCTGCTAAAAGTCAGTCAACTAATATACTGGTCCAACCAACAGTTGGTTGTTCTGCTTTAAAGGCAGCCCAAAGCTATTCACCAAAGCCAATCGGGGGAGGAAATTCTGATTGAAGATCTTGTCATGGTCTGGGCTGTGCTCCTCCCACTAATTGACTGGCACAGCTGTAAGGCATTCACTAACCCAAAGTCCCGGCTTTATATTCTCCAGCCTTCCACTCATTCCTTGCCAGATCGTCAGTTTACAAACCCGGAACTTACTCAAACACGCAGCAATCCTTTCCACGTTGTTAATGTCTTTTTGTCTGCCTTAGCCTCCAGTTCTCTTCCCCTCTGGATTCTCCGCAACCCGCATAGTGGATCAAGCCTGTTCCAGCCTGCCGACCATTCCTCCAGCCAGCTCACAGCACCTTCCGGTTCTTTACAATGTTGAACCTTTTCCGGTGTGTGTTCCGCTCTTGGGTCCAGCACCACGACCAACATGACAGATCCAGTCCTCAAACAAATGTGACAAAATAGACTAAACAGGAATTGGATGTTGTCACTTTAGCTATAGGTTTGTGGGCTGCAGTTTGGCATTTCTACCGTCGCTGGCCCTTTTTTCTGGAACCGGAAATAATGCATTTTATCGCTACCATTTATCGAAGCCATCAATCAAGACATTATATTTTGGATCAGCTGGTCTCTTCTATTCCATAAGCACAATAGACAACTATTAAATCTGAAGACTTTATCATAACTTATCATTTATTGATAATAAACAATTATCTTTCTTCATCCAACTTGTGTCTCCTGATTTAAATGAATATCATCCTGTATTGAAGTTGGCTTCAAACTAGAGCAGTGGTTCTTAACCTGGGTTCGATCGAACCCCAGGGGTTCGATGAGTCAGTCTCAGGGGTTCGGCGGAGGTCAAGACACACACCCGACTCATATGATTCTTGATTACATGCCCCGCTTGGGCATCATTGGCTGCAGGTGATCACGCAACATCGCTTGGCCTATCTGTGCTGCAGGGAATTTGGCGTGCTCAGTAGTCAAATTGTGACTGTTGTGATGGTACGTCGTGTGATTCCTTTCTTAATATTTTAATCCCTTCATACTAACTATGTCGAGCAAAAAAAGAAAGTGGTCGGACGAATATGTACAATGTGGATTCACATGTATAACGGAACGTGATGGGAGTCAGCGTTCTAACTGCATGATTTGCAATGCCAAGTTGAGCAATTCTAGCACCGGCAAAACTAAGAGAACACTTTCTTAAGCTACATGGAGATGGACAATACAAGAACACAACGCTCGCTGAATTCAAGGTGAAGAGAGCCAGATTCAATGAAAAGGCTACTCTGCCTGTTCTCGGCTTTGTACCCATCAACAAACCGATCCTTACAGCATCATACAAAGTTGCTTACCTGATCGCAAAGCAGGGCAAACCACACACCATTGGTGAAACACTCATAAAACTAGCTGTGTTGAAGATGGCGAATATCATGCTGGGAAAAGCGGCTGAAGTTCAGTTATCCCAAATTCCTCTTTCAAATGACACCATGAGCGACAGAATAGAGGACATGAGCAAAGACATCTTGGCTCAAGTAGTTGCAGATCTGATTTCAAGCCTGGCAAAATTCAGCCTTCAACTGGACGAGACCACAGACGTTTCCAATCTAAGCCAGCTTGCTGTATTTGTGCGCTATGTGAAAGACAACGTGATAAAGGAAGATTTTTTTATTTTGTAAGCCTCTTACAACAACAACTAAGGCAGCCGATGTGAAGAAACTTGTGGATGACTTCTTCAAAGACAACAATCTTTCGTGGGATATGGTTTCTGTAGTTTGTTCGGACGGAGTTCCAGTCATGCTGGGAAGAAAGTCTGGTTTTGGTGCGCTAGTGAAAGCCGATGCACCACACATCATTGTTACTCATTGTATTCTGCACAGGCATGCGTTGGCAACAAAAACCTTGCCTCCAAAACTGGCAGAAGTATTAAAAATTGTTTTAATGGTTTTGTTCTTTGAACACTGATGTTGATGCACGGTTCATTTTGTGCACCAGTAAAATATATACCTATGTTTTGAATTGTATTTTTCCAATTAAGAAGGGTTCGGTGAATGCGCATATGAAACTGGTGGGGGTCAGTACCTCCAACAAGGTTAAGAACCACTGCACTAGAGATTTAGACTATGAATTTACAATGCTTAAAGTGGAAATTCAGGAAGACAATCTTTACAGTCCTCTTCATTCATAATCCCCCATTCGCTCTCCCTCCCTTGTCATTTCTTTATCAGCTGATATTGGGTGTTCACTTTTAATTAACCAAATAGATTCTTAACTGTATCCTTGAGGCAATCCCATTGTTGCTGTCAAACTTCAAACATTTTCTCCTCTGCTGTCAGATGTCATTTCACCACCGTTTTTGGATTGCAAAAACTCCCTTTATCATCCCCACCACCAGTTTCTGGGGGATTAGGCCTTATCTGACCTCAGCATAACTACCCCTCTAATCCTACCTCAGGATGCAGTCCACGACCAAAGACTGTGTCATACAATTTATGACTGTGTAATAAATTATTGTTATATTCTAATGAAGTATCTCCTGATTGAACTGTGGTAATACATCAAATAAAAAGTAAAATTCTCATAGACTTCTATAATAACAAAATGCATGACTGCATTGAGATTGACAAAACTGTGCAGTGTGGCCTTGTAGTGGACACTTGTAGTGCGTGATGACACATGAATTTCAAGAACATGCTGATTGATTTATTAACCACGTGTAAAGAGAGAAAGGGGAAACAAATTACATCTGACCTCAAAGTGTTTCCTGTGTCAGTGTAACTAATCTTCCATAATTTAAATTCAACCCTTTCTGAAAATGTAAAGCCAAACACTAAATATTATCAACAAAGGCTTTTACTCTTTTTCGGCTCTCTATCTTTGTGGAATCATTAGAAAAAACTTCATTTTTCTCTTACAGTGGCAATCCATCAGTGCTGATGTTAGCTCTGCATCAGCATTTAACTGAGCGCTGGGTTTTGGCTCAGTAATTATAGTGTCTACATACTTCTGGAAGAAAAGAAAAAATTCCATGAGGAGAAAAGATAATTGGTGTGTAAGGAAATGTGTTGCCTTCCCCACCTTTAGATTCTATCCGGCTATGTGTGTGGCCACATCAAATCATTCCTTCTGGAGGTTTTATTGCATTTGGCAAAACATACCTCACTTTGATTTAAATTCTGATTATAGAAACCAGTATCCATATATTATGGGGATATGCTTTTCTTTTATCAGCCCTTATGAAGTCTGTTGATCAACAGTGATACAAATAAATATTGAAAAAAAGGAAAATGCTGTGGCAAAAATAATGAAAGAATGTCCCCACTAGATAGTCTTCAATTTAAATTGACACGCACACAAACACACACACAGACATGCATGCACACAGCTGTCAAAACAGCTGTGTGCATGTCAGAACCCTGCTAAAGTTTGCTCCAGTTGCAGTAACAAGCCCCTTGTGCACACAGAAACATATCAATGGGACCTTCACATGGGTGAGAACGTGTGAAAAAAGGCCTTTGGTGAGTCCACCATCACAGGGTCCAAGCCTCTCTCTCCGAGGAAGCACTTCAGCCTTTTTACTTCAGCCGTATACCTGTGCAAGGTGCAAGCCGTGGTGATGAATGGCAAATAGAAGAAGAAAAAAAAGAAACAGAAATGGAGCGGATGTGGATGTGAAAAAAGGAAAGAAAAGTGAGCTGGAGACAGCAAAAGACGAAGGAGACGGAGCTCAGGGAGTAAAAGGCCACTCGGAGGTGTGAGGGAAGAGACACACCAGGGTTAGTTGCAGACCAAAGACGCGGGCGGGAGGTAAGTGATAGACAGCGAGGAGGACAGTGATGAGAGAACAGAAGAGGAGTAGAAGCAATCCAATCCATCACTATGATGGGATCACATCCAGCAACGTCCTCATGGCTCCTTCTTCTATTCAGCTGCTGCACCACTACTGAAAGAAAGTATTCCACTTCAGCCTCTGCAAGCCTTCAGCCTCTGGAGCTCATTTTCTATGAACAGTCTAAAGGTCTATGAAGCAAGGTTAAATTATCAAGGTAGCTAGCTAACTAGCCAGCCTGTGAATGAGTAAAATGCAACAATGTAATGATTTGCTCGTATCACCGCTTAAAAAGCATGTTGGTAATGCCCCATAAGTGACTTCTTTGTTCAGCTCATTTTCTCTGCAAACCAAACCGTCAGCTAGTTTATGGTAGATTGCTAAATCACAACAAAAGACGGGGGTAAAAAGAGGCGGACAGAGATACATGCAGAGAGAGCAGTTGTGGGACCGTGACAGCCTCCTACCTGTGTTGGGTTGTAGAGCTCCTGCAGAGCGTTGCGGGACCCTTTCCTGCAGCAGCCATCCACCACAAAGGGGTTCCTCCGCATGACTGCAGAAGAGAGAGAGTAAACATAACTATTAACTGAGGATCAATCACACCAACCGGCCCACAAACAGAAAGAAGTTTCTCGACACAGTTGCTAAAAGTAATCAGAAACATTGACTCTCATGCTCATGAATGCTGACTGTAAATATGTAGCCTTGTTACCGCATTGGTGAAACACCTATCTTAACATTTGCCACCCACCCCAAGTGATAACTGCGATCTGGCAATGTTAATGAGAAGAGTTTGTGTATCTGATTTGGATCCTTCCGTCCGACACGCTTCCAACTTTCTTTCAGGGTTCTTTGAAAGAGTGAAGTCTAGTAAGTACCCTTTGTTCTAAACATGGACCTCCTGCACCCATCCCGAAGGACGCCACTTTTGAAACTATCACTTTAAACGACACACTGCAGGAAGGAGGTGGCACAAAGCTACAAGGATAAATAATGACAGCATGTGCCAAGGACAACGCTACAGTCCTGCGTTTGTTTGGCTGGATCTCAGCTCACACAACTCGATGCATCAGCTTAGTGGGAGCAGCCAGCCCTGCACTGCGCCCGCGCTAACACATTCTCTCCAATTACTATGGATGGAAAAAGCTGTGAAGGACGGCGCAGGATCGACAAGAGACGAAACTGCACCGCTAACGAGAAAGCCAGGGTTTTACTGGCAGTTTATTCCACACGTCATCTGCCTCATGTTAATGGATGAACATGTGTTAGTGCCATCAGGAGAGCTGGTGATGAGGACAACGCACGTTCACATCGGATACATGTCTGTACAGGGCATCGTCTTCATCAGTAGACCTTAACAGTTAGCTTCATATGACGATGTCCAGAATAGGTTATGCTTTGTTAATCTGCGGAAAATCTGTTTTCCTGCACGTCCCTTCCTGTCATACGCACGTCCCGTCTTCATGTTTTAGCTGTGCTAGGGAAGGCGAGTATAAGAGGGGTGGGTATAAGAAGTAGATGAGACGACCGACATAAATACAATATATATAATATCATACTGATTATTAGTCGATATAAATATATATTATACTGAATTTCCTGTCAGGGGGCCAAAAATAAGATTATCAGTATTATTAACAGTGTTTTTCATGTTGGAAAAAATGGAGGAAAAAAAAGTAATTGTTTTGCAAAAAATCAACCTGGGATGTTTGCTGAAATTGATTTAATTACCCTACCTAGAACATTTCCACCAGCCGCCGCTGCCATAATTCCAGTAATGCCATAATTCCAGTTTCAGTATGTAGTCATTTTGCTCAATGGTCTTACTAGGATACTTGCTAGAGCCACGTGAAAATGCATGGCATCGGTTAGCTTTAAGCCCTTCAGTAAAACAGTAATGGCCTTTTTTACAGCCCTTAATTTTGTAATATTTTGACAGGCTAATATTGTTATGGACTATTAAGAGCCGAAGTGAGTCGTCTATTAGCTTCTGCAACTGAATGCAATATCTTCTTGAGCCTAAAATTTAAATGTAGACTAAAGCTCTGGCGGCAGCACCACTTTTAAATAATAAATACATTGTTGTACATTAGTCACATTCAAATAATATAAATGACAAATCCAATCTTTATTTCCACATGTGTAGGTATTACTCAGCGCTTGTTTCGGAGAGAGAGGCTTGGACCCTTGTTTGCTATAGACAGATAGACACAGATACCTATGTTATTTGAAAGAAGAAGTGGATTACTGAAGGTGTCTCCAGGGTTCAGTATCACTGTTGGACATAGTTATCTACATGTTTCCCGCTTTTTACTGTGTGAAGTGGGAGCAGTACAGTGTTGAAGTTTGCATATCTGCTGCGTAAAGCCGATAATATCAGAGCCCACATTTGCTCATCTGCACACCTGCTCATGGACGGAACTGTACATTTACAAATCTTTTGACTACAAACATGTAATTCCTTCCTGCCAGCACACACTCAATATCCGCATAATCAGGATGTTATTTGTGACTGTCAGTATTTTCCTCTACTATATCACAATTATATTCTTTTGCTGCGGCAGTGACCAAATTTCTTTTCAAATATCAAAAGAAGTCTGTCCGCTCTACTCTCATCTCACGTCGGCGGAATATCAAAGCAACGAATGCGTTCACATTCCTCAGAGGGCTTTTGGATTGGATATTGAAGGATGGAGCGTTCTGATGCTCGCCCTGACCACAGATATACCAAGTATGTGACCTGTAATCCCTCAATTTGCCCAGACCATGTCCCCCGACGGACCCCTGGGGAGTGAGATGAGGGCTTGTTAGTGTAACGAGCCCCAACAGACAGCCATGACCTTCAAACACCGAGGGGAGGATAGAGAGGGGCGAGGGATGCCTTAACAGACACACACGCAGGCCTCTCTACATGTACAAATAATCATGCGCACACACACACACACACGCATATACACAGCGCATGATTGATAACTTTGTGGCTTAAGCTAGTATTTATTAATGGGCTTCACCACTGCGTCCCACTGTGGATGATGAAAACAGGCAATCCCTGCTTTTTCTATGGAGACGGGAGCTGTGAGTGCAATCATGGCCTATCTGCTTTTTATGTTGTTCACACTGAAAAGCACCAACATTTTGCACACCCGTCCACTCCCCTTGAGCTGATTCAGCAAAACAACAGTGATTGCTGATAGTTGTGGACGAAGTAATGAGGGTTTAGTCCTGTGTGTGTGTGTGTCTGTGCCACGTGGCACTGACGGGTCGCAGCGCTGTGGGGATATTTATCTGCTTGCACCATTGAGCATGTTGCTAATGACGGCGGGTGCCAAAATGAATCAGGTTGAACCTCTACGCCTCCGGTACTTCCAGGCGCCCGTCCTTTGCCATAAGGGACACTGTTCAGTGCAGTGAGAAGAGACGCTACACTATGGACCAAAGCTGGTAGTAAATGAGCTGCCACAATTAGGTAACCACTCATTTGTTAAGGTCCTAAAAAAAAAGGCATGAAAACTTAACTTTTAACTTTTACTTAACCTTTGGAAACAAGAGGACCCCATATGGGGCCCAAAGAAGCCAGAACCATAATATTTATATATTTTTTAAACAGTAACATATAAACTGTTACACATTATAGCACTTACCCCTTTACCCCGACAAACATAAATTGTACAAATAGACAAAGTAGTTCCAGAGTTATTATACTTTTTATCATGGGTGTGCCATTTTCGAGGCTGAGGCCGAAAAAGTCCAAAGGGTTTTAAGTTATTAGTCCCTATCAACTGTTTAGAAAAAGTGACATAAAGATCATGCATATTCCAATTCTAACTTAAGCATGGAAAAACATGCAGTTTCTCTGATTTGAAATAATAAAGTGCAGTTATTCGACTTTGTCACCAACACTGTAACAACAATTAATTCTGTCATGTTGTTTACAATTGAACTGCATATGAAACTTGATGAAAATACTTAATTGAAAATAATTGTGCTGTGAATTAAATGTCAGCTTACTTTCATATACATGTGTTTACTGAAGCAACATGTTTGTGAGCGTCACACGGCTGTGTACCCAGTTTTCAACGGACAGAGAAGCTTTTATTGTGAACCAGTGCCAGCCCTTCATTCTAGATCGCTGATCAATAAGATTTTCCTCAATAAGAGGATTGGTTTGAAACATTGAACTTTACATATCATACAACATTGTATATTATATATTGTTGTATTTAATTTAATTGTATAATTGTATTGTTTTCCTTGGGGTACTGGGGTGGTGTATTAAAACTAATGCTATGGTATAATTTTCACACCCCGCATCCTTCTCCATGCTGGGTCCGACAGAGGATGAGGGCCAACTGGAGTTCTGCATCTACACCCTCCTCTAAACCTTTGGTTTGCAATCCTCGTCCTTCCGGTTGTTTAGTCCAAACAATTTCTAAGTAGAAAAAATGTTCTGTGTTGGTTTATGTTACCACATTTGGTGAAAACAGAAAAGCTCATCTTGCTTAATCCTTTTGGCCTCACAACCCCCCCCCCTGCTTGTCCAAAGAGGCCTTATCCCTGTGGTCTGGTCTGCTATGCGTCCAGGTATGGACACAAACACACACATCATACAACACAGACAGCCAGCAGAGACGTGGTGACTGCTTAATCTGTGAGTAATCCTGTCTGCCGCCTGTCTGATGCCGCTGACTAACTGTCTATCAGACACTCCCACAGACACACACACGCACACACACAAGCTGAAGTCACTGGGATCTGGACGAGGAAAAAAAAAAAAACAGCTCACAGAGCCCCCCTCCGCCACACCCACACACGCACACTGCCAACAGGGACATAAAGTTATCCATAGTCCCACACCAACACCTGGCTTATTGGTTAGTGGGAACTGAGCCGTAACCATGGAAACTGCTACCTCCACACAATCGTCTCACCTGCACTGGCAATCAGTTTAGGTCATGGGAAAGCAGAGCCTTTTCATTTCCTGGGTGCTGACAGGTATTGACTGTGGGCCCCTGTGGCACACAAACACACTCATGATGATGTGCTAATGAGGCTGGTGTTGTGGACTCACACAGAATTTTGAAAGCTACCTTCATACTCTTGAAAGTGGACATTATTGGTGCCACTGCCGACAGAGCATATTCAAAAAAGACCATGTTTCTTTGGAGAGAAAATGTGATTTAACAGTGATTCCCTTTTACTTCCAGAGAAAGGTACTGAAGCCACTGTAGAAATGAACTGACGACCCGGTTCATAAAATTAATAAAATGCAACAAAGTGGCCATTAAAATAACTGTACTTTAAGACAGTGGTCCCCAACCACCGGGCCGCGGACCGGTACCAGTCCGTGGGCCGTTTGGTGGGCCGCACCACAGAAAGCTTATACATATATTTGTTCTGAAAAATGTTTTATTTTGAAAATTGACCGGATTTTCTCCTAATTATGTCCGCTCGTCCCTCTGACATATTCCCCACGCGGCACCAGGCGTTTTTCTTTTTACCGTGCACGGCCAGCGAACACAGAGCGCGCTACTACTACTTACGTTTTTATCTCAC